AGGTCTTAGATCTTTGCCCTTATTAAAGCTATCTTATATATAATTATTTTTATTCCCTTTATAAGAGATTTTAATACTTTTAGAATTAACTCTAGGGAGCTATTTTAATGCCTTTTAATTTATCTCTTAAGGTATTTAGACTAAGATTTAGCCTTAAGAATAATCTTTAAGTTCTTTAAAACCTAAGGGGTTAAAGGGCTAGCTTCTTCCTCGGTAAGTATTAAAATCTATAGCTATATATTAAGCTTTAAAATTATATTTTCTAGGTTAAGAGGAATAAGCCTTATCCCCCTAAAGGCTACCTTAATATTCTTTTCTATTATTATAGCTTAAAATATAATCTAAAAGGCTAGAAAGAACTTAGTCTTTGAAATATAAGTTATAGAATATTTAATTAGATACTTTATTTCTTAACTATAAGTATTTTTAAGTATATTAAAGTATTTAATATTAAGGAGCTAAAATAGATAAGATAAATAAGGTAATATATAAAGCCTAATAATCTTATTTTCCTTATAATATCTCCTAAAGTTAATAGAATAATAACTTTTATAGCTATTAAGGATTAAAAAATAATAATAATTATTTAATTATTTAGCTATATACCGGTCAAAGTGCTTTAGCTACTTAAGACTAGTCTTATTATTAGTCTAGCTATTTTAAGTTATTATAATAGCTTAATCGCCCGGGAGGTTACTTTCTTAGTATTAATTAGCGAGGTAATATTAGTCTATATTAATAATAAATAGCTAGATCACTTAGCTATTTATATTAATTACCCAAATAACTATAATTTATTCTTAGTTTCTAGGCTATATTAATTTTAGCTTTTTATGCCTATCTATGCCTATAATAACTATTCCGCTATGAATTATACTTATTATAAAGCTAGTTTTATTAAAGTTATAAATATTATCTAATTAGATATTATATTTCGCGATTATATTTAATATAAGCTTAAATTAATTATAAATAATTATTAGATGTTTATATTTAATTCTTTAATAATTATATTTTTAAAAAAAATATATCTTAAGGTCTAAGTATTACTTAATAAAATTTAAAGCCTAATATATCTTAATTAATAGTATATTATAATTAATAAGTAATTAATTAGCTATTTCTTTTATATTATATAGCCGGGGGGGAAATCCTCGCGAATCTAAGTTAAGAATAAACTAAATAATAATCTATTTCTCTAGATTAGATAATCGATGCGATTAAGGGATCTAATTATATCGGGATTAAATGCCTTACTTATGGCAATATAGCTGTTACTTATTAACTCTATAGAGGGTTATAGCGCGTTAGATGCTAAGTTTTAGGTTATTTTAGAGGGCTTAAAGAGTAAAAAGGGTTCTAGCCTTAGTATTTAGGTCTAATATATTTAGTAATTAAGGAATTAATTAATTAAATATTGAGTTAGGTATAGGAGGGAGAAGTGCGATATATACTTGCCTATGGCATATACTTATTATATATGTTAAGCTTTAAAGTTATATCTTATTTCTATTATTCTTAAAAGTACTTAAAGTATAAAATACTTAAGGGTATTTATTATTACTCTAAGTATATTTATTATAGCCGCGCTTATAATAGTTTAGGTATATTAGTTTCTACTAATAAGTATAATTTTTATATTTATTACTTTTTTATTATTAATACTTTATATAATATTATACCTAATAGTAAAGAAGTATTATTTAAAGTCTAAGGAGGAGAGAGTAAAAAAGAAATTCATTACTCTTTAGTAATAAATAAATAAGTAATTGTCCTATCTAATATGCCTTTATTACTAAAAGAAGTAAATCTATAAGCAGGGTATAAAGATAATATATTAATAGTTAAATTCTCTAGATAAATTAGAGGAATTAAATCGCTAATAGGCTAATATTATAATAAATACTTAGTCTTTTAGGGCTATTAATATTATTAATTAATTAGCTATTCTTAATTTTAATATTAATTCTTTTTTAAAGTTATTAATAAAAATCTTATAATAGCTATTATATATTAATAAGGTATTTTAATAATTCTTATATATTTCCTAAGTCTAAGTAATTTTATTATTTAATAAAATATATTATTTTATTATTAATTTTATTCATATTAAAGATAGCTTTTATAATATATTCCTTTAATTTATTAATTTCTATCCCTAATTTACTACTAATTTTAATTTAGATAGTATCTTATATTAACTTAAATTAGGAAATATAAAAGATTGAATAAAGCTCAACTTTTAATAATAAATCTAATTTATAATTATATTTTAAGATTTTTTATTTAACTTTATAAGGTCTAATATACTTATAATTAAGGTTTTTATTTTATTATTTTATTTAATATTTTTTATTATAAAGTAAATTATATCTCTCTTTAAGAAAATTAATCCCTTAATTCTTTTTTTATTAGTATAACGTACTTAATAAGCAAGTGTCTCAGACAAGCAAGTGTCTTAATTTGCCTTATAGAGGGATTTATATTTATTATGAAATTAGTTTAAAAAATTCTAAGAAAATCAAGCTAAGCCTAAAATAGCTAAAATCAAAGGTTTAGTTATATTATATAATAAGCTACTTATAATAATTTTAATATATTTTTAAAAAAATCTTAGTAAGCTAGTATTTAAAAAGTATATTTATACTGTGTAAAAAGCTATTTCTCTATAAAGAAACTTTTCTAAAAATCTAATAAAATTATATATAGTTAATATAGTAGTTAAATACCTAAAATAGCTTTTTTTAAGTTTATAGCTATCTTAAAGCTATTTTTATTAAGCTTAGAAATCTCTACTTTTAGTGCATAGTATACTTGAGACATTTGCTTGTCTGAGACACTTCCTTATTAAGTACGTTATATAAGATATATTATTATATTAAGACTTAGCTTATAATTATATTAGGCGAATTTAATATTAAGATAATACCTTAAGGTCTATTTAGTCCTATATAAACTCTCTTTTACTATAATAAAGAAGAGGTATCCTATATGGCGCATTAAGGTCTTTTACTAATATGCCTTTAAGGATTTAAAGGGGATATACTCTATGCCATAGTTATAGCTATATATAATATTAATCCTCCTATTAAGAGTCTTCTAAGAGGTCTTTATAGCAAAGGCATAGCCTTATAGCGCCGCCTAAGTATTAATTACGATAATTAACTCCTCCTAGGAGCGATATTTATCTTCTAGAAAGAATATATTATTAGGGAAGGCAAGGGGAGTATTAATTAGGTCTATTATATAATAATAAAGGCATAATAAGTCGAATTACTATTATAGAAGGTATTAATTAATAAATTAAGGGATATAATTAGCGGTATATTATGGTATTATAAGAAGGCCACGTTGCTTCTTATATAATAGATCTTATTTGCATCGCCGGCTATGCGCCGATCACGTGGTCTTATTTGCATAGCCGGCTGTGCATGTAATGCTCGCCCCTGTTTTGAGGCTGCTTAGTCACCGATACCCTACCCCGCGCTCGAGGATAATGCCGATTATTCTTTTCCCGCTCCTTTCCACGCTCCTTTAACACCCAAGATGAGCTCGTCAAGTGAGGCAAAAGCCAGAATCCAGGCTAGAAAGATTCGCAAAGGCACACATAGTTGCTGGGAATGTTGGTCTGACACCCCTGATACATATGTTTGTTTCCTAACCTGTACAAGGCCGCCGCCGAAAGATACGATGCCAGTTCTCAGCACCAGGCGACCTGGTGTGTACGCCTTGCAGGAACCGCGGCTCGATATGCCGCGGTCAAGAGGTCGCCGACGAATCAGAGGCATCGCAGCTGTCCATGCGGCATCTCGCACGGCGCCTCAGTAGGCTCGAAGAATTGATGGAGAAGCTTGCGGAACAGTCCACGCTTGGATCATCCACTGATGTCTTCACTCAACACTCGCCCGGGTTCTCGTATGTCAGCATGGACGAGTTCGAGCAATCACGTGCAACGAAGACGGGGGGCAACGCTGTTCGTCCCGGGGTGTCAACCTTCTCCAGTTCCTGCGACGCAGCATCATCCTTCACTTCTGGGACACCACAGGAGACCAACGTGGATATCGATGGAGACCGTACCCTTGCGCTTTCGAAGACGCTATACAAACTCTTCCCCACCCAGGGCGATGTCAACGCCATCCTCGAAGCCAGCGTCGGATCGATATTTGTCACAAGATTATTTCATCGCCAGGCGGACGTGGCGGACGGCAACTCAGAACCTCCGGAGGCCGTCGGAGCCATACCGTCGCCGTCAAGCCGGCCTACTCTGCTTGCCAAGAGGCTTTTGCAGCTGGTCATCTGCATGCAGCAGATTTCCCCAACGTTCACTGGTCCACTGCCTTCCGTCCGTACTTCATTGTTGAGAACCATGGAAGAAATTGTTGACCGCGTGGATAAATTTATCACTGCTGATCGGTTTGTGTCTACATTCGAAGGACTGGAATGCCTACTGCTCTTAGGCTATTGGCAACAAAACGCGGGCAACCTCAGGAAGGCCTGGATTATCTTCCGAAGAGCTCTCAATGTTGGACAACTCATGGGCATTAACACCGCCGCAGGCCCCCCTCCGAGCACGCCATTCTCAAGCCGATATCCGCCGTCGCCGGCTATGCTATGGTTTCGATCAGTCGCTTGCGATCGCTACCTGTCCCTGCTACTTGGTCTTCCAGCTGGCAGCCACGATAACTCCTTCGCCGCTCCGCCACAAATGGTCAGAGATGCTCCCCGGGAGAAACTGGAGAAACTGCATGCGGTGGTATCGGAAAGGATGATTGAGCGCAACAATTCTACCCAGGCACAGGCTTATCGCTGGACCCAGCTGATCAGTCGTGATCTCTTAGCAGGTCAGGGCCTCATGGGCGAAGAATGGTGGAAACTTCCCCTCGTTGACTCTGAGCAAAGTCTGAGATCGGTACCGGAGGTAGCAGGACGGATTATTCTGCAAATGAATCATCATTTGCTCTTGATTCTGCTGCATATCCCGTACTTGCTAAAAAACCCCTCACCTCTTCATGGCGAGCAAAGCAGCAAGGCTATCTGCACCAGCTCGAGTCGCAATGTTCTAGAGAGGTTCCGTGCCTTTCGGAACTTGAACGATTCGGCATTTTCTTGTCGTCACGTTGATTACACCGCCCTAGTCGCGGCAATGACGTTGCTGGTATCGCATGCCCAGCATGGAGAGAGTAGGGATCCAGCCAACGATGAAAGCATACACCGGAGCGCAGATGAGGCACGGATCACTGCGGTCAAGGACCGTATGAAAGACCTCGCGTACTTGAACAGCGACAAGTTGTTCGAGGAATCCTCGGATATCATCGATCGGTTGTTGCCTCTGTTGACCTCCCCAGAGTCAGAATCTCCTAGCCCTCCTTCGCTAAACTATCAACTTATTGAGCTGCGAATACCCTATTTCGGCACCATCAAGATTGCGACACCCCCAGCTCAGCTGAGACCAGTGCACGAGACGAAAGAAGCGCAGCGTGTCGAGCCACTTGAACTGCGTACGGACAAGGACGCTAAGACACAGACGGTATCCACAGAATCTTCGCACCTAGCAAGCAGCGACATGGAACCTGTGGTTCCAATTCACTTCCATCCTGAAAATGACCAGAACAGTTTCAGTGCGACTGATATCACCGCCGGGGCAGACGCATGGCCACTCCAGGGGATAGATGCGACTTACTGGGCATTACTTCAAACGGAGTGGAATGCGTGACGCGTCATTTAAGCTGGGAAACGATCCTAAGGAATTGAAACTCGAAAATACTGCACTAAATATACAATGAGAAAGAAAACAAGGACCGAATTCTTGTCTGCCGTGAACACACGGTCAGCGGAGAACAACCGCGGTACGGCAGATCTTGCAACTTCCATTCGTAATGTAAGGAGAAGACTTCAAACTTGCTACGAGTCTTTTGATCATCCGCATTCAGTTCTTACTCAACTTCAGCCGGTATATGGCTTATTCGAGCGGAATCCCGAGCGAGCCAACAATACCAAAGATATCAGCATTGATGCGCATTTCCACGATCTTCCCATCCTCCCACCGGCAAATAGTGTAGTGGAGCAAGTCGAACTCTTTGCCATTGGGTTTGGCAGGCGAGGAACCCAAATACGAGGGCAGCTCAAGAGGCCCCTTGAAGGTGCCGCTCAGCATAGCAACCGTGGCAGTCCAGTCCCCTTGCGCGATGATCTGCCTGTAGGGCTTGTTCTCCAGATGCAGGTCCGGGAAAGTCTTCTTGAGACTTTTTAGCGCTGTGAGATAGCCCTTGACATCGAGAGGCTGATCGGTGAGCCCGTAAACCTTCAAGTCTTTTGAGAGGTGCAGAGCGTCTGCAGTGAAGGTGCCCGCGTTGAGGGCGTCGTCGGACTCGGTCATTTTAGCCTTGTTGGTTTTGGCGTTGTTTACGCCTGGCTTAGCGGAAAGAGGAGCAGTGTAAGAGTTGAGCTCGATATCGGGGAGGGCATCGGCGGGCGGCACGGGCAGAACGCCGAGCTGGCGGTACATGAGAGGACTATCGGACCACAGATACTCCTCCATCATCCACCCGCCGTCCCAGCGGGCAATTGTCATTAGATCAAAATGGACCGTCCGCATGGTGGGTGGTAGCCAATTTCCGGAGAGATCAGGTAGAGGGCCATCATTGACACCGCCCGCATGGGCAAGCACCACAGTCCAGTCACCTTCGCCAAACATGACTTGGTAGTTGTGGTTGTGAGGAGCCGCGTCCGAGTAAGTGGAGAAGGTGAGGCGAAGGTCTTCGATGTGCTCGGTGAGGTTCATTACGACGCCGCCGGTGTAGTACATGGTCGAGTTGGGATGGTGGTTGAACCGGGCAAAGTCTCTTCCGATGAAGGCATCGTCTGAAACTTGCATCTGGCGTGTGTTCTCGGCCACGGTCCAGTGGTCCTTACTGTTCTGATTGACCGGGTGTGGCGAATAATCGCTTGCGGCGCCTTTTGAGTGAGTACTTGTTAGCTGGCGATTGCAATAGTGCCTAGTCATTTTGGGCAAGACATACGCTTCGCAAGTGTTTGGGTCTCGCCACGAGCGATGAGATGGATGGCCGGTGGAATGGCGAGGCCACAGGCTGAGACCGTGGCCAAAGACGCCAGAGAAATGAGAAGTGGGAAGTACATGTTGGAGAAGTAATTGAAAGAGTGTAATGATTAGTTGTTCTGATACTCCCGGGACAGGTTGTTCAACAGTTCTATTAAATACTTTCACACAGGAAGGCTCGGCGTTCTCAGACGCCAAGGACATTGCACTAACCGCGGCAATTACTAAGATATGTCGTCAACAGCTGCCTCTAGGTAATTTCTTTTGATGTAATTTCGATTGAATTATGCCCATTTCCCCGCCGCTAAAGATGCCGCCTGCAGGGCCCGAGTTTTCGGCCGATCATTCTGAATCATCATGAGTGCAGGGGGCTCAAAATGGCCGGGTATGACTTCAACTACAGAGTAGTTAGGCCGCATTCTCGGCCGTCGAGTGTGATTTTAGTCATAACGAGTAGACTAAAACTTGAAAGAGCCTAGGGTTGTTTTCCCCCTTGTTTTCGGCCGACAGATCCAAGGTCTCGCTTAGTTACTGCTAGAACTGCTTACGAGAGACAGCGTCGTGCCGCGGAATTACCGAGCCGGCGGAGGGTGCGACGGTCAAGGTTCCCAACGTACAATCACGTGCCAAAAGTCCGACAACACCCACCTTCCAACCCCGCTTCTCAATAATACAGCGCGACAACTTCTTCTTTTTAACCACGCAGAATGCCACCTAAAATGCCCCCAGAAAGACATAATTTTGGCACTGAAATAAGCGGAAATCGCAGGAAGAACTAAGAATTTACTCCCGAAGCAAGGGCTGCCATAGTTGCTGAGTTGTACGCCGGCAAATCCACCTGGGAGGTCGCGAAGGATTACGGCACCGACTCGGCTACCATCCACTGTATCAAAAGGCGATGGGAAGAACAACACTACAACCACTCCAGCCCACGAAAAGGACGTCCGAAGAAGCTCTCGGCTTTGAAGATTATACGTATTAATTCGTATATTAATCGGCACCGCAGTCTCACATGGAATGATCTAATTCAGCCCGAAGGGCGTTTTACTTAGTTAGAAAGAATCAAGCGTAAAACTTCCTCTGATTAGCTAATTAGCATAGCCTATGCTTAACTTATGCTAGAATTAGTCGGCTATTAATACTAACTAAATAAAGACTATAACCCCCCTAAGCATTAATAAGGTAATTAGCTAGCTAGCTTAATAAGCTCTCTGAGAGTACTTAGGTTCTTCTTTTCTTTAATGCTTCTCTTTCCTATTAAATAACGTATGTGATAAGCGAGTGCAACATGCAAGCGAGTGCAACAGCATACTGTGCACCTAAAAATCACTAACTTTAAATTTCTAAAAACAGCTATAAAATAGCTATAAGCTTAAAAAAAGAATTTTTATAAATTTAATTAAAAAAGTTATATAATTATGATTTTTTTTAGATTTTTAAAAAATCTAATTAATATTTAAAAAATAAAAGATTATAAAAAAACAGTGCGAATAAGACTTTTATAAATAGCTTACTAAGAAATTTTTTAAAAATTCTAAAAAAGTTCTTTTTATAAGATGATTTTTAAACCTATATTAATATAAATTTATAGCTATTTTAGGCTTAGTCTAAATTTATAAGAATTTTTTAAAATATTCTTAAAATAGAGTGTAATTACTAAGAAATAAAAAACTGTTGCACTCGCTTATCATGTACGTTATATAAAATCTATTAGGTTATTAATAGTTTCTAGGCTTATATATTACCCCTATAGCTAACCTACCTCCCTATATTACCTAATTATCCTACCTCTAAGCAAGTAATTTAATATCTTCCTTCTATTATAATAATAGATTATTAGACTATTAGATAACTTAACTTACCTATATAAGATAAAGCCTCTCTGCCTAAGCGATATCTAATAGTCTAGGTAGGTAAGAAGTAAATATATATATATAGCTAGATAGAGGATAATATACCCTTGGCAGTTTAAAACTATTATACCTATAAGTATAACCTACCTAAAGTTAAATTTTAAAGTATTAAGAACCCTATAAAGCTTATAGGATAATATAATACCTATAGGGCATACTAAAAGGAATAAATAGCTAAGTCTAGAGCCGCGGTTATTACAATAATAACACGATTAATCAGCCTTGGCGCTCTTAGCGAAACCCGAAATAGACCTTAACTAGCTTAACATGGACAAAAGCCCTCCTTCTTGCTTGAAAACTTACCTGGATTTCTCACCTTGTAAATGCATATTTCTAGTTATTGTCAGGCAAGACAGGCGGATATTGACCCACGAACTTAGATTAGTATGTTAGCAGGTCCTTCATGCTGCTGGCACCTATAACGTTGCACCTGTCGAGCAGGGACAGCAAAACCACTAGGGGTCAACTGGGCCCGCACATGGTAAAGTAGTGCAGCCACTGTGGTGCCCGCTATATGCCGCCGAGCGACTAGTCATTATTGTGTATAGTCTGCATGTCTTACGCATACTTACTGCACTTCCCACTGGATAACATGGGTTGCATTGAAATTGAGAGAAGCCTTTAGAAATACTAGGCGGGAAGCTTAAGCTGCTCCTGCGGCGACTTTCTTCGTAACCTAAGGACCGTTCTCTACCGTTTCATAATACGACTTTTCTCACTTCTGGACATTATGGAGCAAATATTCTAGGATGCTAAAAAGAATTTATATCCTAGACTTGCTCTCTATGAGGTAGTTGCGAAATATAAAGGTGAATATGAGCGGCGGCGACTAGTAAGCGACCGCATATCCGAAACTCGAAGAGATTTTCTGGACTCCTTTGTATATCTATGTGATATCGAAAAGGGCGGTGTAACTGTAACTGCTGCAGGGCTGCAGAGGTTACCATATAGCAATATCCTCTGGCTCGCAGCAAATGAGGGAATACGAAGTGCGGTAAAGTCATACGCTAATGACCTAAGGGATATACTCGTTAATATGAATTCTGAGACCGAGGTGAAAGCTCGTGAAGATGTGTTTCAGTGAGCTGTACAATGTGCTCTCCTAGGCTTGCATTCTATAAGGAAGAGCTTCGCACATACGCAACAAGGTGCCGGATGGAACTAAGAAAAGAATTACTAGATGACTTGGGTAGGACGTCATGAGCTTCAAAGTCTAGCAAGCGCTAACCTTACTAGTGAGCGCTCTCCGGACTAAGCTCAAGAAGCTTTCTGAGCCACGAATTTCTTTCACCCTCGCGCGAATTGTTAACCTCTGCTATGATATGCGAGGGCATGAAGTTGACGCCATTAAGAAGAGATCAATAAACTCTAAGGATGATTTCGGATCACTAGCGCACTATATCGGCCGTCTTGGCGCAACTCGCTCCTCGGTGAATATAGTTGTAAGGGCGATGAGTTAGGTCCCTTCTCTCCGCCAAATCTCTGATATTCGTGTCATGGACCTACCTAAGGTTCGGTTTGTTACACTGAGCGCAGAAGATATAGTACCATACGAGATCGTATGGACAATCAGCAAAGACTCTGCGTCTCAGAATACCTTAGCTATCTAGTTAGCTCTTCATAATCTTATCTATCTCGATCCTCCGTCGACTGATGGCTCGGATAACCCCGTTCGCATCGTTCTGGCTGCCCGAAGAACGATTTAAATGAGAGTATATGCTGAGCTGCAGATTGGAGATTACTTTAGCCGTCGCAGCTTTGAATTCGTGGATGGCGACAAATATATCGGGTGCAGTAAGCCAGCTTGCTACTTCTGCTACATTTGGCTCATCAGCCATAACCACCACTACGTCCGGCCTGCGACGCACTCTAAGATTATTCCAGGCTGCCGAGGCCCAGATAACCATATCAACGAGTCCGGCGTTGCAATACTGAAGGAGATGTATAGAAAAATGAGTCTGCGCGTGGGTCAAGATATTCTCGACTTTCTACTTAATGAACGGAACGACGAGGCTGCAGGTCGAAGATATCATTATATGTCAATAGAAGGCATAAGTCGCGCAATAAGCATAATTTAGAGCCCATATGTATCTATATACCGGAGAACGCTTAATGTCCTTCTACCTAATGGTCAATAATGCTACCGGTACTGTGGGGGTCTCTAAATCGACTATCCCCTGACCTCCGTACCTCCGGCAGGGGGGTGGTCTGACTAGCAAATGGAGGATTGATTCATAAAAAATAGGTACTTCCGCCGCCACCTAATTTACTAGTGATTCGAAGTCACTTTATTTAAAGTATGTCCTCCAAATTTTGCAAATCAACCACCCCGTACGCAACTAAGCAGCCCCTGAATTGGCACTCAAGGAGACGGCCAAGAAGTCGGATTTTTTGCACACTGTTAAGGAATTACATAATAAATCAACTGGACAAATGAAACCCGGGGTAACTAAAAGTCTTTCTCCTCGTCTTCGCCCTTGACAACGATGAATTCCTCTCCCTCGCTCTCACCGTCAACTTCCTCTGTTATCTCTAGTCCGTTAACTTCATAGTCTAGCAACAGGGCTCTTCTTGCTTGCCGTTCCCGTTCCTCTAGGATGATGAACCTCATCGCCTCTCTAATAACCTCAGTATCGTAGATAGGGGGCCACGGCATAGCCGGCTCCTAGTCAGGAAGAAGCTTATTCTGTTCGTGAAGCTCACGATGCATCACATAGCGTTGACTTAGCCGCTTAGTCGAATCTAAGTGAAGTCTCCTATCGGTCTTTGACCACTAGTTAGTCTGTTTCCTAAAGGAAAGAAGAGGCTTCTAGTGCCTCCTCCTATGGCTATAAATCGCGTTGATCTTTACCTCTGTGATGCTGCGCCGGGCCCTCGATCTAACCTCTGCTAACCACCTTCTTATATACTTCACTTCTTTATGTGTATCTCTCTTTATAGGGCGGCGTTGTTCCTCGACCTGTGCTGCTTATCGATGGTATTCGTCACGGGCGACACGGAGCCTCGTATCAGAGACGCGAATTGGGCTATATTTGCATATAAACGACGTCTCCTCATTAAGCCTCTCTCGTCTTAATGCCTTCTCTTTTAGATGGTGCATCTCCTGAGTGGCGGCGATTCCGTTGAGGGCGAGGGTTACGTGAGCTTTCCTCATTTTATCGTATTTATGTGTGACTGACGGTGTGAGAGGCACCCCGGAAGCCACTGACGCCTCTATTCGCAACCTGACATACTCGGAATAGCTCTCAATTGTGCGCATACTTAAGGGGGGGTATAGTCGTTCCATGTAAATTGGCGCCTTGATAGGGGAGTTTGTGGCCCAAGAAGCCGCATAGAGGGAAGGGTGTAGTCTGATGACTTGGTGCCTTCTCTGACGTAGCCGGGAAGCCCCCGTGGCGATACTTGCTCCGTTAATGACGATAGAGGATCCTTGAGCTGTTCTAACACCACAGAAGGTTGAAAAGGGGAGATTCCGCACTTTTCCCAAGTCTTGAGGATAATGGACTTCTTAAGGTGCGATCACGGGCCTCCTGATCCTGTGAAACTACGGAAGCATATAGCACGCACTCATTTGCACTTTCTTATGTCGCAGCTACCTCAGCTATAAATACAACTTGGTTACACTCAACACCATTTAGCACATTACCAGACGTGACTTACACCCGCTCAGAGCCACGCAACCTGATCCTCTGCCAACATAAACCCAGCACGACCGGTTTATCCCTTGGGAAATCCTACGATCGTCACAGAATCCCACTGTACCGGGTCAACGTTATAGCGGTCCAGCAGGGTCTTATCTTATCATTAAAGTGGGAATGACAGGGGTTTTGCAACATAAACTAATTCTGACTGGCTCGCAGAGATTTGATAGGGATATATCGTTCGCCCCATGGTCTGACCGGGGTAGACTTGGACTTACCCTGTACATCCATGTTGTTAACTTAAACGAAGAATAAAAGGTTTACTAAGGATATACAAATATTAAATTTATTTTCGTCAAATTGGCTGACTTTTTATCTATTAATTAATGGGCTTTTTACCTTATGCATTATTATGGCTGATTTTTGATTGACTTAATTGCGTTTCTTACCGTTTCGGAACACACGTGCTAACCCGCAACCCGAAGCCCAACTTTGATTATCGGCTTATCCTTCTCTCCGTAGGTTTCGCAAGGGGGATTTCTCGCACTTTCTCGTGAACTGAATATCATAGAAAAAAAAAAACAAGGGCAACTGATCAATTGATAGTAATGAAAATCACTTCGAGGAAGAAAGCCCAAAGCTCCCCTTTCTCGTTGTGACCTCTGAAGAAGATGATGATGTGAAGTGCTCGCCAGCCTCTGACCCTTTTCTACGTACAAAGAAGAATGCCAAGTTGCCCAAAATGGCCTAGCACGCTCTTCTCCCAACCCACTAAGCTAGACAGCCTTATTGTCAGGCCTGTCACCCGCCAACAGCCGGGCTGTGTTAGCAATGCCTCTTTGCCTGATACTTCCTCACAGGGAATCTCAAGCCAGGTGCCGCCCAGATGTTCCGGAAACAGGACATTATCCAGGCCCATGGTAGGTTTCTTTCTATTTCTAATGTTCGTCGCAAAGGGAGGCTTAGTAGTCATGTCAAGTTTCGATTCTATCTAATAGTGAGAGTTCCAGACCCATCCCGTACTGATCTTCGTCATTCGTAGTCATTCCTCTCCGAGGACACCAAACTATCCAAAAACGCCCTTGTGCATGCTGCCGCTGTTGCTGCCGCGTACCGCTGAAACGATTTTGTCTTGCGGCTATCTGCGTAGTCGCAAGCTCCTTTGATCACCAAGCAGGGGAAGGTTTCCCATACTGCCGCGCCCTCCATCTCAAAAGCGATAGTATTTTCTCTTTTCGCGATCTCGTCTCTCTGCCTTTCCGACTTCATCACCGTGTCCCCTGATGCAATAAGACCAAAGTGTATGGTAGGCTTTGGCATATCAACAGAGTTCTGGCCCGGACGACGGCGAGATGTTGGCTCAGCTTGACCTTTTCCACCCTGGCTTGCAATTCTTCCAGGATAAAGCTGCGATCGCCCGAGAAGCTTGCCGGTTTCCGTAACTGGGTACTTGGCTCGTAAGTCTGGTTCCTTGCCAAGACTTTCAAGATAGCCAGTCATTTTGCTTTCCAACGCTTTCCTTCCAAGGATGCTCTGTACTTTGTTAAGAGTTGACCGAATCTCGAGCCCAGCTCTTCCCAAACATTCAAGAGGCTTGTCATTTCGCTCAAACCGGTCCGGGAGCTGTCGACCAAAATCATATTGAATGACCCCGTTGCTAATGATGACATCGCCTAGATTTCTTCTATGCGGTCTAGTTTAATCTATTAAATCTATCTAAGAGCTATTAGAATATTTAAATAATCTATAGAGTAATAGAGTTCTTAATGCGGATTTATTCCCTTATTTACTCCTATAATAACTAATTATAGTTTTTTTTTTTTTTTTTTACTTATTTCTTCTTAGATAATTAATATATATAATAAGCGAGTAAGCTAATTAACTAAGTAAGCTAAAAATCCCTTAATTTATATTATCTCTATTTAATTAATTAGTTCTTAATCGCCTAGTATATTATAATCTAATTATAAGGCTAAAATATTTCTTACCTTTTAAGCCCTTTAAAATAACCTAAGATTAAATATTTAGCGCGCTATAGAAATCTATATAATTAATTATTATACTTTATATCGCCGGTAAATTAATATCTAATGTTAATATAATATACTTATTAAATTATATTACTTATTTAATCTAAAGGAATAAATCTTTATTTATTTTATTCTTAACCTAGATTTATAAGAATTTCCCCTATAGCTATATAATATAAAAGAAATAATTAATTAATTACTTATTAATTATAATATATTATTAATTAATATATATTAGGCTTATAACTTTATTAAGTAATACTTAGACCTTAAGATATATTTTTTTTTAGAAATATAATTATTAAAGAGCTAAATATAAAGATCTAATTATTATCTATAGGTAGTTTATATTTATAGTAAATATAATTACGAAATATAATATTTAATTAGATAATTTATATAACTTTAATAAGATTAGCTTTCTCATAGGTATAATTATAAATAAAATAGTTATTATAGGTTTAGAAAGGTATTTAAAGCTAAAATTAATATAGCCTAGAAACTAAGAATAGGTTATAATTATCTAGGTAATTAATATAGAAAGCTAGGTAATTTAGTTATTTATTATTAGTATAGGCTAATATTACCTCGCTAATTAGTACTAAGATAATAACCTCCCGGGTAATTAAGCTATTATAATAACCTAAAATAGCTAGATTAATAATAAGATTAGTCTTAAGTAGCTTAAATACTTTAATTAATATATAGCTAAGTAATTAAATAATTATTATTACCTCTTAATCCTTAATAGCTATAAAAATTATTAATCTATTAAATTTAAGAGATAATATACTTAATAAGTAAGCGACGTAGTTAAATAAGTAATATACTTTTCTTAACCTCTCTTATAGAAATTATAATAAAAATACTATAAATTATTTAATTAATTAAAATTACTTATTATATTTTTCCCTAGATATCTTAATTACTACCTAATAGGTCCTTATATTATACCTAGGCTTACTATAAATATTATAACGCCGAATACCTAGTCTAATTAACCTTCCTTAACTACTACTTCTCGACGATTTAGCTACTACTTATATATCTATATCTATTTAATTAATTACTTGCCTTCCTTCCTCTACTATTATAACCCCTCTTTTCTATAGTTTAGTTCTTTTTGCCCTCTAGCGCTAGCTTAGTATCTTATTTACCTCTTAAAGGTCTCTAACCTTAGCTATTAATAAGGTAACTTAATATATAATAGCCTTTATCCCCTTTATAAGAGACTATAGAGCCTCTAAGATTAACTCCGGCGAGCTACTTTAATGCCTTTTAATCTACCTTTCGATATATTTAGGCTAAGATCTAGCCTTAATTATAGTCTTTAGGGTCCTTAAAGCCTAAGGGGTTAATAGTTTAATTACCTCCTTAACCGGTATTAGCATCTATAGCTAAATATTAAGCTTTGAGATTATTCTTTCTAGGTTAAGGGAAATAAAACTAGCTCTTTTAAAAGCTCCCCTAATATTTCTTTCTATTATAATAGCTTTATATATTATATAGAAAGCTAAAAAGAACTTAGTCTTTAAAATATAGGTAATAGAGTATTTAATTAAATATTTTATTTCTTAATTATAAGCCTTCTTTAATATACTAAAGTACCTAATATTAAGGGGCTAAAATAGATAAGATAAATAAGGCGGCATATAAAGCTAGATGATTTTCTTTTCCTTATAATATCTCTCGAATTTAATAGATTAGCGACTTTTATAGCTATCGAGGATTAAGAGATAATAGGAACTAATTAATTACTTAGCTATATATTAATTAAAGTGCTTAAGCTATTTAAGACCGGTCTCGTTATTAGTCTAGCTATTTTAAGTCGTTATAGTAGCCGAATTGCCTAGGAGGTTATTATCTTAGTATTAATTAGCAAGGTAATATTAGCCCGCGCTAATAATAAATAGCTAGATTATTTAGCCTTTTATATTAATTACCTAGATAATTATAATTTATTCTTAGTTTCTTAGCTATATTAATTTTAGCTTTAAATACGGTTTTAAATATATAATAATTATTTTATTTATAATTATACTTATAAGAAAGCTAATTTTATTAAAGTTATATAAATTATTTAATTAAATATTATATTTCGCGATTATATTTATTATAATTTTAAATTATTTATAGATAATAGCTAGATCTTTATATTTACCTCTCTAATAGTTATATTTCCGAAAAAAATATATCTTAAGGTCTAAGTATTACTTAATAAAGTTATAAGCCTAATATATATTAATTAATAATATATTATAATTAATAAGTAATTAATTAGCTATTTTCTTTATATTATATAACTATAGGGGAAATCCTCGCGAATCTAGCTTAAAAATAAAGTAAATAAAGATCTATTCCTTTAGATTAAATAAATAATATAATTTATTAAGTATATTATATTAAGATTAAATATTAGTTTACTAGCGATATAAAATATCATAATTAATTATATAGATTTTTATAATGCGCTAGATATTTAGTCTTAGGTTATTTTAAAGAGCCTAAAAGGCAAAAAGTATTCTAGCCTTATAATTAGATTATAATATACTAGGCGATTAAGAACTAATTAATTAAATAGAGATAATATAAGTTAAGGGATTTTTAGCTTACTTAGTTAACTAGCTTCCTCGCTTATTATATATGTTATTTATCTTTAGTAAGGTAAGTAATTATTTAATAAATATAGGAGATTCCGGGGGAAAAAATATATATAGTAAATTAAGGAGATTAATATTTATTACTTAGTCAAAGGTAAGAGATAAGGTATAAAGCTATTCCTTAGTAGAAAATATAAATATTACTTTTAAAATTCCTTAAAATTAATAAATAATATAAGATATAAAGCCTATAATTAATTAATAGATATAAAGCCTAGGAGATAATGCTATTTATATCCTAAGTATATTAAATATTAGGGGTAATGTTTTAAGACCTCTAGATATCTAAGTTTAGGCGGCTATCTTTATTACTTAGTATTAAGGATTAATCTAGTTAAACCTATTAGTTTTTATCTATCTTAGCCTAAGGTAATATAGTATTAATTATATCTAGTACCGCAAGGTTCCACTAGTAATTAGCTATATCCTTTAGACTAAGCCTAGGCTATATACCCCCGCTAGCATTTTCTTTTTCTTCTTCTTCTTAATAATTATATAAATGCCCTTAATTCCTTTCTAAGAAACCTTTTACTAAGTAGAGATCTAACTTAGAAAGAATATTAATATTATTAATATTTACCTTACTTTTAATATCTAAGATATTTAATTTAGAGCTAGAGTCTACTTTAAAAGCATCTTCTAACTAAGACTTAATATTAAATAATAATTTATCGCTAATACCTTCTTCTTAATAGGTTATATTCTTATCTTCCTATACTTTACCTATTTTATTTTTAACTACTTTATATATATTAGGGTTAAGAGGGGCACTTATTCTCTTAGGTAAGAAGCTTAATATACTTTCTCTCTCTAAGGAAACTAATATAATAGTATTATATAATCTTAAATCTAAAGTTTTATAGATATTATTATCCCTAGTAAAGTAATACTAATTACTATATAGTCCTATTATATATAATCTTAGCCTTATATCTCCTAATAAGCTAAGCGAATTTAAGCCTATTTTAATTATTCTATATAGATCTAGCATATTATATAGATTCTATAAATATAGCTATACTAATATAAACTCTTTTATTAGCTATAGATATAATCTATTTCTAGCTATAATAGTATTACTTATAATATAGTTTAAAGCTAGTAGTAATAGCATCTTAGCTCGATCTAACTAGCTAGCGGCATTTATAAGGATATTAAGGCAGCTTTTTAACTTTATATAATATTATAGTAAAATTAGAGGCTATAAAGCTTCTATCGGTTAAGGGATATAAACTTAAAATCAGATATCTCTATATACCGAGGAGCTCTAAAGCTATTATTAAGCGCGTTTAGTAATAATATCTTGCCTTACTTTCTCCTCTAGTATATTATATTTTCGAGGCCGCCTACGCTTTTTAGGTACTTTATGTCACGACCTAGGAAACCCCCAGGCCACGTGATAAGAAGGACCCGCCTTATCCTACTAATCGCAAGCGGATTAAGGCGGATCACGCCCTGTAGGTTATGATCCCCTCTGATCTATTAAATAAGATTATGACGGCTTAGGCTCTATAAGCTATGATCTATTATGATTTATTCCCTCGCATAAGTATATAAAATGCCCTTATTATATTTTCTTATATAGTAGCTACCTTAGCTATTAATATAACTTAGTTATACTTAATACCTTTAAGTATATTACTAGATGTAATAAAACCTTATTTAGATTACGCGATTATCCTTACTGCTAGTATAAACCTAATATAACCAGTTTATCCCCTAGATTTAACCGCACCGTTATATATTAATAGCTCTTATTTAGTGGATTACTTATATTACCTTGAATAATTTCGAATATAATAGCTACTTAGGCTACTCCTGCTAATAATTAATAATAGGTCTTACTTACTAATTATTTACTTATAGTACCTATATAGGCCGCCTTAATTAATAAAGAAATAGACGAAGCGGATAGTTCCAATAACGAAGAAGTTAAGTAGCTCTAAGCCTAAATTACTACTATGAGTATAGAAATAGATAGACTCTGCGAGCTTATCGAGAGAATAGATAAGACATAGCGTATTTAGAATACGTAGTATCTAAATAGCGTCTAAGACCTTAATAATATAGCTATTGCCGCTATAAGAGGTAAGGATACAAGAGAAATCCTAAAGTTAAACCTATTAGAGATATTTAATGGGACTATGTATAAGCTACTGATATTTCTTATATAGCTATGCGCTTTTATAACCTATTACTTAACTTAGTTTACCTTAGCGGCTAATAAAGTCTAATATGCCATAGGAAGACTTAAGGGCTATGCTGCCGCATAGTTTAAGCTAGTTATAAGGGAGTACTATATGACCTTATTTATTAAACTCTTATTATAAACTAATAACCTTTACTTAAGTTATAAAACTTTTAAGGCCGCGCTCTAATAAGCCTTTAGAATAATTAATAAGAAAGGATAGGCTAAAAGGGAAATTAAGACCCTTAGATAAACCTAATTAGCCTTAGAATATGGAATAAAGTATTTCTAACTTGCCTTAAAGCTTAGCTAGGATTAGGAACCTTTAATATCTTTTTTCTTTAATAGACTTAAGAAAGAAGTATAGGTAGAATTATATAAGGAAGATTGACCTAATAACCTTATTAATTATATCGGCAGGGTAGTTAGAATCGATGATTAATAGTTTTCCTAGAAAAAACTATAGAACCCTAGATTTAATAGTAATAAGGCAATTACCCCCTGATTTAATACTAATTAAAGATGATCGCGGTAAACTAATATATCCTATGGAACCTATGTAAGACCTATAAAGCTCGGGATTACCTAATAGGGTAAATAGAATTACTATAGACTTGAATGCTATTACTACTATAAAATAAATTATATTAAGAAGATCTACTATAAGAAGTAATAAGATATCTAGGAAGGATACTATTAGCCCCGATAATAATTATAATTACCCGAAGGTAAGAAGTAAGTAAGATTCGCTAAGATAGATAATAAACCTTAGATAGCTATTTGTATTACTAAGACCCTAGGGATAGCCCATATGGGATATAATAATACTAATCTTAAACTAAGAGAAATTAATATACCTTATGATTAAGCCTACCTTATAAAGGAATAGGTAATATATAACTATAGTAATAGCGTGGGAAAGGGATAGAGGACTCTATATAAGGCTACTAGGCCTTTAAAGAATATCTATATAAACCTTATTAACTAAGATATATAGAAACTACTCCTAGAACCTCTTAATAAAATTATTAATATAGATGCTAAGATTATCGCAGTAATATAGTAAATTAAATAATATAATAAGGACCTTAATTATAGCGCCGGAACCAAGGCCTAATAATAACTATTAGTGACTTAGATCTATAACTAATAAAACCCTAAGATAGATAATAACCTATAGAAGGAAGAGTACTATTTATAACTCTATGATAAATATAGTAACTAATATTAAAACTTAATATAAGAATAGTATATCTAAACTACGAGAGAATATATAGATATAGCCGATAAGTAAGAAGTTTGTATTAGGGCCTATTATAAGGAATTAGCCGAAAACCCCTAATATCCTAAAGTATTATTTAATAATAAGGATAATATATAAACCTACCTTATATACCTAGAATATCCTAGTATCTCTTAGATATTATATGAATATTATTAGTATAAGGAATATTAAGAAGAAAAATAGAAATAAAACTATTTCTCTATTATATTATTATATTAGCCTAATAATAGACCTTACCTATAATATAAAATAGAAAGATATTAGATCTTTTATTAGTATTACTTTATTAGCGTTACCTATGCCTAATATAGCAATGAATTATACTATGTTATCTAAGAACGGAAGAAGGTAGACTATAAAATCGGGAAATAATAAGAAAAGATTATTTAGTAAGAATAGGAAGACCTAGGGGCTTAAGAAGAGCGAAGCTACTAAGAATAT